AGGTCTGTAATACATTCAATGAATAAGTAATGGTCAGGGCAAAGACACTGCGCTGGGTTTGTCGCGGTGGGCTGGGTGCTTGGACCAGGATGAAGTCTGCTATCTGATACAGCCAGACTGCGATTATAGAGTCAAGTGGAGTCCTCTACTTTGATGGCTTTGTTCGTTTTGGCCCCTCTCCATTACACCACTGTCCATTTGTTACCATCTCTGTTTTATTAGCGATGGAAGGGCTGCTTCGTAATTAAAAAGCTCATAATGAGGTGGCGAGAGCAGTAAGAGAGAGAGAGCAAGGCTGGAGCTGGGGCTGGGGCTGAGACGGGCGCTGGCAGGGTTGGGCCGCGCAGCCTGTGAAACAAGGGGAAGCACACATACTTTGGGCAGATTTGGAGGTGATTTGTGTAACCAGGGCGACCCGATCCTCTGCGGACCCGCTTGTTTGGGGATTTACACCGGTCAGCAGGAGGGATGGACAGCCATCAGCCCACTAAACCATACTGCAGAGCCTCTTAACTGGGCATAGTTCAAACATAGAGAGACGGCTAGTGAGAGAGACATTTTAGGTTGTTTCTGTAGCTCGCTCTGCCAGTCATCTGGAGGGCCACAGGCTGTTGTCCCTGCGCTAAGACTGTTCCAGCCCTGCTGGACAAAAGAGTGGTCTGGCACTTTTAGGAGTAGCAGGGCATGTTTCATAAGAGTCACAGTGAGACAAGTCTTCAACCTTCATAGTAACACTGAAGACAATTAAGACATTCATGTAAACGGACTCAAGGCTGAGTTCTGCACATATTCAGGTTGCTTTTGTTCACTTAGTGAATGAAAAGGTCCATTCATTGAGATTTAAAAAGGCTTTAGTCAATCATTAAAAATTGTCAGAATCGATTATATGATTTGTGTTTTGTAGTAAAGGTTAATCAACTTTTATGCACCAGATTATCCCTTAGAAGTCAAGAATTTTGCTACACTATTAAAATATAATTGTGTAGCTATGCATTTAATCACGTTTGCTTACTTTTTCTGCAAAACAAGACTTGTGCAGATTCATTTTTAAATATCTCCTCTTCTGTTGACGAACACAAATATGGTACAGATGGAAGAATCTGTGCTTCTGAAAGAATTTCCCCAATTGTTTCAATTAGCTATGAATGAGAAATCATTTATATTGAATTACACCATGTTTTGTAATTGTTGGTGATAACTGTAACTTCTTAGGGTCAAATGCTAAGGTTGAACTGCAGCTATAATTACTTTGACAGTTACTGATCGGTAATGTAAAAAAATCTTACATGTATGTGCTTTGGATTTGATAACTGGCATATTGTCCTGCTCTGCATTTTTTGTTGACTTTAGTACTTTGTGCATGTGAAAAACCTGACCAGCGCCATAGAATTGCAGTGGGTCGTAATGGCAGTTACAATATTACTGGGTGTTGAGACGGGCTGGCTGGTGCTTGCCTGGCCACTGAGAGCTGTGCTCTGTGTCTGCTCTCTCTGCCCCCTACTGCCACTGTCTCTGCCAACCCAGCCAGCCCTGCCAGAGTGGAGCTGCACTAGCGTACTGCCATACAGTGAACAAACACCAGAGCATCATACCCAGATTTACATTAAACCAGCAAACACAATCCTACCGCCTACTGCCATTAATTTAGCACAGTACTGTTCTGCGTACTGCCTTTAAACACACCACACATCACCATACTGCCCACGGTCTTTAACCCAGCACACAGCACCATTCTGCCTACTGTAACTCAGCACATTCAACCACTGAGCCCAGTAAACCACAATAAAGCCTGCTTCTGCATGCTGCCACAGAGCCAACAAAGAGCGCCATACTCGTTCTACCGCAGAGCCATATTGCCCGCTGCCAACACATCAAGACACAACACACAGCCGCACTGGAGCAGGTGACTGTGGCAGAGAGAGGGAGGGAAAGAGGAAATGGAGAAAGAGGAGAGGAGCTAGGGATAAGAAGGAAATGGAGGCATAAACAAGCATGTTAATTCAGAATAACCGGATGGAGAGAATGCCAGTGTACTAACAGAGTACAGATGAAAACCCACTGGAGGTGTGTCGTAGGGGGAGAGGAAGTTAATGTTTTGTAGGAAAAATAGAAGCTTTATTTGAATAGGAGAGGGCGTTGTTGCTTGTTGATGGAAGGTGTTGGGCTGATTAACCTAAGTGTGGGCTGTTTTTGAGTGAATGCATAGGCTGAATTGCAGGCAGGAGTACTCTTGCTCTTTGTTAGGTGTAGGAGGTGCGCTAGGCGGGGGACTACAGAGGGGAATTGGCAGGCAGTGGCTGGCTGTAACCTGTCATATGAGTTCTAAGTTGGTCTTTTGTGAGAAAATAGCAGTTGCCAGCATGCAGAGGTGGTGATTTAGCAGGGAGATAAGCTCTCTGTAATGGCAGGGTGGAATAATTCTCATTTAAGTAGGTGGGTGATTCCAGCCTCTCGCTCCAAACCTGCTGGGATGGCTTTCACGCCTGTCGTGTGGTAAGCAGTGCTCCCTTTCAATTGGATCCCTTTGATATATGTACACGTACAAGCTCTCTCTGTGATTGTATATTTTAACCTGGAGAGAGTGAGTCAGTCACTATTAGAACAATGTGTAAAATGAATTTAATGAATGAAGTTCTTGTCCAATTATCTATAGTATATCTGAATATGTGTATATCGTGGACATATTATGGATTTATTGCATTCCATCACCAGCACACTTTAACATAATGAAGCACCGATTAGCCAAACCAGGTGTTTGATGATAACTGCAATTAATAAAGGGCTTCCTTGAGGAGAGGTTATAAATAGTTAAGCTTGAGAAACATGCAGCCACTGCTTATTGAATAAAAGTTATTTTTATTTATTCTAATATTGGTGTTTTTGTGAAGAAATACATGCTTAGTGCTCAGATAATTACCTTTTTAAATATAATTTTCTCAGGTGCCTTAAATTTTTGCCCAATACTATATATAGCTCTAATAACTTGTCTGAGCGCGGTCATACTCATGCTCGGCTTGCGTGTCACCCTCACAGCTGCTTTAACTGACAAAAAAATGACGAACTAGATTGAAAACAAGCTAAAACAGTGAAGGTGATAAATAAAATGGTATTTGAAACTCATTACATTATGTCAAGATATGCGACTCATAAAATTTGTATTTGAACAGGAGGGCTACAACCATGGATTCAGCATCCAGCTGGGCTTCAGCCTGACTATTAATACATTGTTGCTGCCAACTGGATATTTTTTGAACTGCAGTAACAAACATACTTAAAGTTATGGTTAATTATGAAATATAAAAATTATTGAGTGATTTTGAAAATGAGTATTCGAATATGTGTTACTTGTTAGGAAACGGCAATGAGTGTTGGCATTATAGGCCAAAGCCTATAAAATGCTGTTCCAGCAGGCCCTAAAATATCAAATATTTTATGTAAGTATTGAAAAAATATGGAAGAAGATAAACAAAGAAGCCTTTAAAGATGACTATGTGAAGGTCAGATGGAAATCAGTGTGTGTGATAAAGCTAAGATGGAGGTGAAAATGTGTTCTGTGCGCGTGATCCTCTCTGTCTGTCAGACGCGTATTTGCTCGTTTACATTCCCCTAGCATTAAGGGCACTGGAGACAGCTGAGCAGTCTTATTAGTCATTACTGGCTGATCGATACAGGGAGGAAAGAGCCAAGGCAGACGTCTGTCTCTGCGCGAGCGAGAGAGAGAGAGAGAGAGAGAGAGAGAGAGAGAGAGAGAGAGAGAGAGAGAGAGAGAGCGCACTCAGCCACTCACGTTGGAGCTGCAGTCTCCCCAGACAAGGAGAAAAAGACTCTTTAACACCACCCCCTGTGTTGAAATAAGCGCATGGGGCATTTTTTATTCTCTATCTGCCGTCTCTGTGGAGGGGTCTCAGGGAAGAAAGAAGGGTATTGTTCCGGAGGATGAACTCATTTTGGATGAAAGGGAATATTTTATTTTGTCCTTTTGCAGAATCTGTTTGATGGTGGAGTGAGACCACACCAGTGAGGCAGTTCATGCCTTTTGTTCATGCTCCGTCTGTGTGGTACAGTCATGTAGAGAATGTGTCTACATTCTCGCAATCTCTCCTCCATCACTGCACACAGGTGTCTGCATGTGTGTGAGTGAATGAGCACTCAAGAGAGGGTCCAGAGACCACTCTAAAGCAATAGAGGAGCACTTAAAGCTGTTGGTTGAGTTTGAGCTATGGAGGTGTAGGGTAGCTACAGTAGCCAGTGCAGCACTGGCAGATTTGGCTCTGTGCCAGCACCTGCCATTCCAAATCCACTCCATCACCGTGGCAAAAGGCTCATGTCCCGCCTCCCCCCCAAGTAGTGAAGTGCTGCCATAGCTCGACGCTGCTGTGATTCACCATCTTCAGCTCCGATTCTCATCTCCCCTCCCTCTCTCTCTCTCTCTCTCCCTCTCTGCCTTTTCATCCTCCCACCATGAGAAGGGAAGAGCAGTCTTTTGTAGTAGGATCACTGCTTACTATACACTGCAGATGAAAAGCATATGATCCTGAGAGAGGCATGCTGACATGGCCCTAAGTGCTTGGAAAAATACAGGACTGCAGTGCCCTCTGGTGGTGAAGGCTGAGAACTGTCGATGGAGATTTTTGAAAGGACTTTATTGTTACTACATTGTGTTTGAACTGGTTTATTATCATCATCTTTTCCAGGCATGGCTGTGCTTGTCTGTTAAATTCTCCTCTTTGCAAATTTGTAAATTGTCAGCTGTTTGTGGAAAAATGTGTCTGTTCAGTAGAGAAAATGCTAAAAAAAATGTAGAAAATCTCAATTTTACTTATCTAATCTAAATGTAACTAGCATGGTTTTAAGCATAGATTATGTAGACGAAGAACAAAGTGTGCAGATTGTAGTGTGATTTGCTAAGTTAATGAGCCTTGGTTCTATAGACTCATGTCATTCTCCCTTTGTTTCTTTCCCTGTCTCTCTTCCCCCCCTCTCTTTCTCTCTCTCTGTAGCCTTGCTGTCATCCTGGTGTGAGGAGCTGGGTCGGCTGCTCCTGCTGCGGCACCAGAAGAATCGTCAGAGTGAGCCCCAGGGCAAAGTGCCCATGCAACCGCCCATGAACTCCATGAAGCCCTCGCTCTCCCACAGGTCAGTGCGCACCGGCCAGACAAAAGCCCAGTTCTGCAGACGGTTAGCCTGCCTCCTGCTGGACCCTCTCCAAGCACTGTGACAACCACTGCTCTGAACCTGTTGCCCCTAGAGCTTCGGCTTCAGTACAAGGACAATGTGCTAAGTTAAAGCTGTTCTTGTAGTGTGCTGTGCTCCTGTCCAAAATGAGCCATTCTTTTAAATGCAGTACACTTAAAGACTGCCCATTTGTTTGGCACCCACTGTTACCACCAGTTGCCTTTACTCAGTCTTTTCCAAGACACCAGCAGTCAAGTTTTTGTCAGCCATGCTGTGTAAACATTGAATCATTGCTGGCTATCAAAGTGATCTAACAATCTCAAGACTCCGAGGCACGGAAAAAATTATTCAATGATGCTTCATTTTCATTTAAACTTTGCTCTATATAAGTCGAAAGGATTTGGGCCTGTGGAGTTGTTTGTTGATAGAGTGCCAGAGAAAGGGCCTCTGGGGTGTCCGAGCAGAGAAGAAGCACTGGCTCAATGAAGTTATGTTTAATAGAACATTCTGTGCTCTGGGCCCAGGCCTGAGCTGTGATTGGTTGCCAAGGAAAGTCTCCCTGGCGAATCCTACAGCTTCGGTTCCATGGGAAACAATGTCCTCCATTCAGTAGAGGATTCTTCCAAAAGTCAGCAAACCTCCCTGAAGCTGCCCCTTAGTGCTTTAGACCCCACTGTAAAGATCTGGAACATGAACGTCCTGATCTTAGGTACGGTAAGGGATGTTTGTACATCAGCTCGCTGATCTGATGCTATTGTTTAATTTTCAGTGATGGGTCCTTTCCGTACGACTCTGTTCCGTGGCAGCAGAACACCAACCAGGCTCCAGGCTCGTTGTCGGTGGTCACAACCGTGTGGGGTGTTACTAATACGTCACAAAGTCAGGTGAGACAAAAAAGCAGCACTAATGTACCGAATGCTCCCTTTTGAATATCTCTGTTGCACTCTGAGTAGCAAGGACAGCTGAAGGTTTTGTAATCCTGTTGTTTTTGTTGAATCAGGTATTGGGTAACCCCATGGCCAACACCAACAACCCTATGAACCCTGGAGGCAATGGAATAGGGTCCGGCATGTCGGCTAGCAACCCAGGGATCAACTCCCCTCAGTTCCCTGGCCAACAGCAACAGTTCCCAGGCAAAGGGGGCTCCAACCAGGCCTACATGCAACAGGGCATGTACGGACGAGCGGGGCACCCTGGAGCCGGAGGCTTCAGTGGGAGGTGAGTATTCAAAGCCCCAGCTTTGACAAATCAGTGGAGCAGTTCTAGACGCACGTATGAGAAGATACTTCCCAAAGAGAGAGCCTTTCCTTGCTCGATTCCCTGAGAAATTCAATAAACTTGGGCAATATTCCTCCATTATTGATATTTGATATTTGATTATGATGCCAAGCCAACACTTAGCTCAGGGGTCTTAGTCTTCCAGGAGTTTTCTCAAAAGAGATGATATCACCTTCACATAGTGCCAAGCAGACAGAGAGAGTATAATGATTAAGGAGATAGTGTCTAGAGATCTGATGTACAGAAACAATGACATCAGATGTTTTTTTTATCTACAAGGGAGGCATTCTTTTATTGTGATTATTGACTTTGTTTTTAGCTGTGTGCCAGTAAGTCGAAGTAAGCTGCTGTTTTGGCTTTTACAGCTACCCAGGTGGTCCGAATGCTCCGGGTGGCATAGGCATGCCCCCTCACACCCGGCCACCGTCGGACTTTACCCAGCCTGCCGCTGCTGCCGCTGCAGCTGCTGTCGCCGCAGCCGCTGCCACAGCAACAGCTACAGCCACAGCCACAGTAGCTGCTCTGCAGGAGACCAACAAGGACATGAACCAGTATGGCCAGGTAGGTGATGTCCATGCAGCCCAGGTGCTGGCTCACAGCCAGACTGAAATAGAAATGTTAATCCATTTGCTCAATTATTCACTTATTTCCATTTGTTTTTTTCTCTAGATGTGCTCCTCGTTTCAGATGGGACCCACGCAGGGCTATAGCAACCAGTTCATGAACCAACCTGGACCCCGGGGCCCCCCAGCCATGGGAGGAGGCATGAACCCCGCTGCCATGGGGGCCAGCATGAACAGCTCCAACCTGAGTGGGCCACCAATAAGTATGAACCAGCCCCGGGCCCCAGGGATGGGACCTTTTGGGGGCCATGGCCAGAGGATGCCCCAGCAAGGCTATCCTGGCCCAAGGCCACAATCCATGCCCATGCAGAGCACCAAGAGGCCCTATCCTGGAGAGGTGAGAACTGACAACGGTCAAGTTCTTATGTGGTTTCTGGTGCTGGATGGCAGTAATGTTATCTATCAAAATGGACAAAAGTACAAATTTGAGGCTTCAAGATTGCTGCTACTGAGGTTTTTAAACCTTGTTTTAAACATATGTCCATTTTTATAGATACATGAGAGTTCCCGTTGTCTAGCTTAAGGCAATTGAGTGATGACTTAATCGTACAGTTGGCAGAATACACATGTGGGGGAGGGTTTCCTTTACTTGTTAGCTTTGTTATCCTCATATCTGCCATGCAAAACTAAAGCATTTTATAGCTTGTATATCATTGTTGACTCCATATATTTTGTTAGCATCTTCAAATTTAGACAGAAAACAAATATTTGAAATTGTTTTGGCTTGTTCATTAGTTGGTGCAATGGCTATAATTAAAATTCCCTTTTCAGCCCAACTACGGGGGCCAGCAGTTTGGACCTAATGGCCAGTTTCCTAACCAGCAAGGGCAGTACCCCAACCCTAATGCCTCCAGAGCACTGCCCTCACCCAACTACCCTGGTCAAAGAATGCCAGGCCAGCAGGGCTCTGGTCAGTACCCCCCTTCGGGAGTGGCAATGAGTCAATACTATAAGGTAAATGTAATATAATAGTAAACATGATGTAACTGATGTACACATGATGTAGTTTTCTCATACTTCAGATTGAAAATCAAAACATGCTATTTCTTTTCTCCAGCAGGAGCCATTCAATGGTCAGAATAACAACTTCTCAGGAGGTGGTTATGCCTATAACCAAGGCAATGGGGTAGGCATCCCTCTTCTCCACTGTTGCTATTTTTCTTGCTCAGTGTGTGATGTATTATGTATTGCATATACTTAAATCTCTGTTACATAATATGCATATTATGGCTGTATAGTGTAGTAATACATATAGTACACTTTTTTCCCCCTTGTAGCCTCCTCGGCAGGTTGTGAACTATCCTCACTCACCAGTTCCTGGGAACCCCACGCCACCCATGACTCCTGGAAGCAGCATCCCTCCATACCTATCGCCCAACCAGGACGTCAAGCCTCCATTTCCCCCTGACATGAAACCAAACATGACGTCCCTGCCTCCACCACCGAGTGAGTACCACAGACATAACAATTCAGATCATTTCAGTCTTACTACTTCTGTTTTTATTAAACACTCACTCAGAGTCTGTCATCAGCACATCTTAGACAACCCTTTGATCCTCTAAACACCTTCAGCTGGGTGAGGAAAAAATCTCACCACTCATTTAGCTTACCTCATTCATTTTTCACATCCACTCTGAGCACATTCATAATGCATGCATTTCAGTGGGAAAGCAGAAACTATGTGACCCCAGAGGCAAAGTTCTGTGCACATCTTGCAGTATATGCCTGTCAAAAAGCACAAAAGAAGATTCTCTTGTCGCAACAGTGTGTCTATGTATGAGCTAAGGCTGTGTGTTGGTTTTAGCTAACCCCAACGAGGAGCTACGGCTGACCTTCCCTGTACGGGATGGGGTGGTGCTGGAGCCCTTCAGATTAGAGCACAACCTGGCCGTCAGCAACCACGTCTTCCATCTGCGGCCCTCCGTCCACCAGACCCTCATGTGGAGGTGTGTGTGCTACATCATGCTATGTTAGCATGCTTTGCAGAGAATCTGCTGCACTACCTGTAAAAATTTTGAGGACACTTTAATACACTTGGTTACTGTTTTGGATATAAAAAATACTTTAAGAGCAGTGATGAACCCCATGCTTTTATAGCCTTTTATAGCCTGTGATGTCAGCTCTCATCAGCACCCAAACGTTTCAGTTGTTTGAGCTACCTTTGCATTTCTTGTTTGAACAACATTTTCAGTATGTGCTTTTAGTAATAGCTTGGAAAAGAAAACTATCAAATCATATTTTAAGCCAAATGAACTCTTTATACAAGTAAGACACTCTGATGAACATTAAGCTATAAACATACCCAAAGTGTTAGTAAATTGCTGTTTTACAAAGCATTTGCAGGTATTTTCTCGTATCCAGCCCACACTATAGGATAATCAGGCCAATTTTACGCCAGTTTCCTCCTCTCGACAGTCGCAAAAGGTGTTCCAGTTAAGGCAGGTCTTAAACAGTTAACCTTCTAGATTGTCCTGTGGGCTGGGACGTGCAGAATCCAATCTTAACCTCTCCAATCTACTCACAGGCCAGTTGTGAGTATGTTCAATATTTCAATAAATGAAAACATTCAATATTCAGAACTAGTGGGGATGCATGAAAGACTGTTAACCAATGAGAGCCAAACTTAATGAAGAGCTATAAATCATTTTATCATAATTGACATAGCAAAAAACAATTAAGACCTATTTTCTTGCATGTGTACGCTGCTAAATATACACAACTGGCACTGTAATCTGTGCTTTGTTGTCTGCCATATTTGTTTTGTTCATGCAGAATTCTGTGAGATCTCAGGTCTTGAGAGACTGGACAAAAAAAACAGTAAAATCTGTCATTATGCTTGGGGTTTGCTTACGGACAGTTAGAATTAAAAATCCTTAATTAAAGATCCTGGTCGCTGCATCAGGCATTGCTTAATTACTTATGTGAAATTTAACATCAAAATACCATAACATAAACATCCTAAACTGTGCATATGCTGGTGTGTTAACCACTTAACTGATTGTGTCAGGTCTGACCTGGAGCTCCAGTTTAAGTGCTACCACCACGAGGACCGGCAGATGAACACAAACTGGCCAGCATCGGTGCAGGTCAGCGTCAACGCCACCCCGCTCACCATTGAGAGGGGCGACAACAAGACCTCTCACAAACCTTTGCACCTGAAGCACGTGTGTCAGCCTGGGAGAAACACCATCCAGATCACAGTCACAGCTTGCTGCTGTGTGAGTACAGCTACATTGCACTTAATGGCCATGTTCTTGAATAATGCACTGTTCCTGATTTAATGGCAGTGTTGGAGCACTCTTGTATAACATATGATACTAAATGAGATAACACTGATTTACTTCAGCAGCCATGCTCATGTAGGATCCTGCATTGTCTCTGTGTGTGTGCGTTTGGTATCAGTTTCGTGGTCTTCCGCTGGAAAAGCAAACAGCACTGAGGAGATATCATTATCCCAGAGCACTAATGCAGAGATTTGATGGTGTGGGGGAGCTCTCTGGCGTGTGTTAACATGTGTATGCTCTTGTTCCAGTCGCACTTGTTCGTGCTGCAGCTGGTGCACAGGCCGTCAGTGAGATCCGTCCTGCAGGGCCTGCTGAAGAAGAGGCTCCTGCCTGCAGAACACTGCATTACCAAAAGTAAGAGCACACTCTGCACGATAAACCTGTTCCTGTTCGATATATATTTACACACACATACACCTCAGTGTCGCTGCTAGACTAAAAATAGTCCACCAATCAAAAATATCCAGCCAATAGCTTCCTGTGGGCAGTGTCCTGTGACCACTGGTGAAGGACTAGATGGTGACCAACACAAACTGTGCAGCAACAAATGAGCTATTGTCTGTCAAAATAGAAGTGTCTAATAGAGTGGACAGACAGTGGACACAGGATTTAAAAACTCCAGCAACTGCCGTGGCTGATCCACTTGTACCTGTGCAACACACACTAACACATAACAACCGCATCAGTGTCACTACAGTGCTGAGAATGATTCAACGTCCAAATAATACCTGCTCTGTGGTGGTCCTGACCATTGATAAACAATGTGAAAGGGGGCAGTTTTATCCTTTCTTCTTTTATGCGCTGATGTCTGACTCCTCTGTTTGCAGTAAAGAGAAATTTCAGCAGTGTAGCAGCGTCCTCTGGGAACGCCACACTGAACGGAGAGGACGGGGTGGAGCAGACGGCCATCAAAGTGTCCCTCAAGTGTCCCATCACGTTCAGGCGGATCCAGCTCCCCGCACGGGGACATGACTGTAAACACGTTCAGGTAGGCAGTGTGTTGAAGTCTGCTGGCTTGGTTCCTTTGAGAAGAAGGTTACAAAAATGTGAAAATCTGTGAAAAAAAAGTGAAAATGGCTGGAATTGTTGTTTGTCTCAGCCAATCAGTTAACTTTATGTTTTTTTTTCATGGAGAGATCCTTGATCAGTACTTGATATTTTGCTGTTACCTTATACAACATCAGAGTAGTTGTGGCCTTGTTTCCATGTGCTGCATGCTTCTCTAATACTGATATTGACTCTCCTCCTTAGTGTTTCGACCTGGAGTCCTATCTGCAGCTGAACTGTGAGAGAGGAACGTGGAGGTGTCCCGTATGCAAGTATGTAACAAACCTCAACTGGACTGAATTTTGGAATGAAAATGTGTTTTTCCCTTTTGAGATAGTTTCATACGGCTCTCTCTGTCCCCAGTAAAACTGCATTATTGGAGGGTCTGGAAGTGGACCAGTACATGTGGGGAATTCTCAATGCCATCCAAAAGTACGTATGATTGAAGTAAACAACGTTAAGGATCAACACATTCCGTGCTTTTTCTCCAATGTTTACCCATAGAACCACATACCCACAAGCCTTTCTGTGTACATCTGTCTGTTTTGTTCAAGCTTTAAGGGTTCTCACACACTCGGAATCTTCTGTTTTTCTTCCTTAGCTCGGAGTTCGAAGAGGTCACCATTGACCCCACGTGTAGTTGGCGGCCAGTGCCCATAAAGTCTGACCTGCACATAAAGGAAGATCCAGACGGCCCTCTGGCCAAGCGCTTTAAGACCATGAGTCCCAGCCAGATGATCATGCCTAATGTGATGGATATGATCGCACAACTGGGGCCAGGACCCTCACCTTACACCTCCCTCCCGCCGCAGCACGGAGGGAACAACACGGAGTACGGGGGCCAAGGTAGAGGTCAGCAGCCCAGCCAGCTCCAGCCTTTCACTCTGTCTACCTTAGAAAAAATATTCTTAAACGTTTTACAAGATCTAGGATAAAGGACGTTTGCCTGACTATTTTTCACAGTCATAACAGTCAGATAGACTTATGCCTGCAGATTTTAAAAGGCTGACCTAAGCACCCCTTTCTCTGGCTGAGGGAAAGCTTCTCACTGTTCTCCTCTATTTTCTCTGCTTTTTTTCAGGCAATAGTTACCAAGGCCATGGAAACTTTGACTTTCCCCACGGTAACTCTGGTGGAGGAGCTCCCATGAATGATTTCATGCATGGGCCGCAGCTCTCCCATCCTCCAGATGTGCCCAACAACCTCATGGGCCCAGACAAACCCCTTGGCCACGGCATGCCGGACTCGGTAAGAGAGCCAAAGTCCAGACCCGATCCTGACATCAGCTCCAGCCTCAGCTGGTCATCCAGAAGCTCACTGCTTTCATTTGACCAGTGTTTATATTAAACACTCTGGAACTTTGTTTTTCATTCAAATATGAACAGTGGACCAAACCTGTCCGTCTGTTGTCACAACACATTGAATCTCCTTACATACTCTTCATCGTCTCCATGTAGAAGTTTGGCACTTGCTCAAGTTTGATGCACTTGTATAGAGTAAAATGAATTTGCGCTACCCTTCGAAAGCTTGGAATTACTTGTTGGTAACTCAATAATTATTAATATATAATAATATCTCCCAGCCGCCGCCATCGGGCAGAAGGCAGGACACACCCCGGACAGGTCGCCAGTCCATCGCAGGGCAGACAGACAGACATACATATACAATCACACACACATTCACACCTAGGGGCAATTCAGCATTTCAAATTGGCCTGACTGCATGTCTTTGTACCGTGGGAGGAAACCCACGCAGACACAGGGAGAACATGCAAACTCCACGCAGAAAGGACCCCAGTTGCCCGGCCGGGAATCGAACTTGCTGTGAGGCGACAGCGCTACCCACTGTGCCACCGTGCCGCCCATAATAATATCTCATGTAGTGTAAATTTAAATATTATAAACTAGACACCAAATGTTAATGTTTTGTTTAATATTTAATATGTGTTAATAAGAAGTTATTAAATGCTAGATAATATACTGTAACTATCTATTTACATATTTTTTTCAAGATATCTGCCTCAAGATATGAAGTGCACTTCTGAATACAGGACATGCTAATGTCCTGTATTCAAAAGCTAATATTGTTTTAACTTCATTGTTGATGTCATACAGCTTTCTCAGTCATTTTAGGATCGTCTACAGCTATGTTCATCATTCTAGATGCGTCTACAATTTCTTTTTTAATGCTTCCTACTCAGAATCATTCCTACTTCGAATCATTTTGTATATTTTTACTGCCAAGTTGGTTTTATATTATTAAAAACATTGATTCCAAACTTTTGAACAATAGTGTCACTACCAGTAATACGTTCACAGTTTCCATTTGAAAGTGGTGGCATGTACATACATATATACATACAGTAATTTTGAATAGGAATGTGGGTTAAATCTTCTTTAGAATGGTAGCATCTAAGTGTGGTGATATGCTCTGATGTCATCTGCATGGCACTCGCGTCACTCCAAACAGTACATATGTGTTTCTGTCTGCCACCCGGGCGCTGGCCCACACTCCATGCTGCGCACACAGTTCCTCACTGCCTCTTTCTCCTCCTCCCTGTAGATGCCCCATCCTGTGAGCGCTGAGCAGTCCCATGCTTCCATGCAGCCAGGCATGCACGCATCCCCCCACCCCAACAGCCAAGCAGCGCAGCCATTGCATCACAGCGGCCCTCCATCCTCCCAGCCCCCACGCCAAGCCCCGCCCCCACAGCAACAGCCTGGCCCCAACAGCCATCCGCACCCTGACATGACCTTTAACCCGGCCGCGGAGGGCCAGGTGGGCGGCCAGGGACCGACAGACATGCCTGAACCCTCTCTGGATGTAAGTAACCACAACCAAATAATAGACTTTGCACTCATTTCTCTGCTCTGTGTGATGTCACATGCTGGGGACATTCGCCAAGCTACCATTGGCTTACATGCTTTGCTCACTCAAAATGAAAAAAAAGTCTAGCCATTCACTGACAGCACAAACTAGGAGTGGGCGATACCACTAATTTTGTTTTTGTGCTGATACAGAGTAATGCCAAGGCTAATATCCCGATTTCAAAGACTGATACTCTTTGTGGGTTCTTTGTGATTTCTGCAGGTGTAAAAGCATTAAAACATTAAAATGATATTTGAAAGCTTTTGCATTAGTATTAAATAAACTGCAGCATAAACTGTTTAGGGGAAAGACTCCAAATGATCTGCCATTATAGAGCAGAGGAAGAAGGTGGAGGGAAAAGTATTTCCTGTACTATACATTTATTGCTATGACATTAATTTACTTTAATCAGTTTAATAATACTGGTGTATATTCACTGCTTTCCAAATTACAAGTTTCCATATATGAGATTCTCAAAAAGCAATGTCAGAATCAGAAGTATCGATATTTCAGTATTGATCCGCCAATCCCTCGCAGAAACTAGAATGACAGGGGAGTTACCTCGATAGCGATATTCAGTATTGAAATTCCATGTTGCATGTTTATTGTTGAATGTAATGTGCAGTGTGCTCGAAATGTATATTTTGATTTATATTTTTATTTAAACTTTTTTTTGTTCTATCTTAATCTGTCTATCTATGATCAAGTATCTGTGTTACTCCATAATACGATTGGTATTCAGTTTTCAAGAAACTATTGAAACTCTGAAAGTGAGCGTCAGATAGTGTAAACATATTTTGGTTTTCAAAAAAGAAGACAATAGAGGCAGGAGGGCAGCAGGGGGCAGACTGTAGAAAGTGAATGTCACTATGAAAGCATAGCCCAATTCTGGACATTTTAGGTAATTAAAAGTCCTGGCCAGGCATGATTTTATTTCCCAAAGCATCTAGAAATGCATATAATGAGTATCGATTATTATCACTATCGCATGATATAGAAAATATGCTGTGATACGATTTTTTGCCACATTGAACAGCCCTAGTTAATATGTGGTTCTGTTATACATCTTTTTGGCTTTGTTTGATTTAAAGGGGCAAAGGAGCTTCAGTGTGGATATAAATCTTTATTTAATCTGTGCATTAACTGACAAATACATATTCTAAGACATTTAGAGCTTGTTCTGCATAAAGTGTGCAGTATATAGTGGATCAGATGCATATTGTTACACTTGAAATGTTCACTGTGTTCTTGCTTTCTAACATTTGTCTTGTTCTCTGCAGCTGCTGCCAGAACTGGCGAACCCAGATGAGTTACTGTCATACCTAGACCCTCCAGACCTCCCAAGCAACAGCAATGACGATCTGCTCTCCCTCTTTGAAAACAACTGACTTCCCTAATCCTCCTTTACCTGAGGCACTGACGTGTTTGGCTGTCAGGAGTCGAGAAGCACCCTGAGCGCCAATCCAGGACTTTACAAGCGCAAAACACTCTTCCTCCCTCTGCCTCTTACTCGTGTAAATATCTCACTCTTTTATGGACGTCCTTTTCCACACATGTAAGGCAGCCATGTTGGTTGGCACTAAAGTGATATCTTTCAATACTAATATGAAAAAAAACAACAAAAACTGTGCAGCTATAATCAGTTCATATGAATATATATGTCACACAGAACTGTATGTGTGCTCACTAGGAAAGTGTTGTAGCATTTTTTTTAATTCAGATTTTTTTTTCCTTTTGTGAAAAGCAAGACCTGAATGAAAATCTTCCTGTAACTGGTGCGTGTGTCCACAAGCTCTGAAGTTTGTTCTTCCAAGCTTTACCACCACTGCTTCCCGATAATCCCCGTCTAGTGTTATTCGCTGGATGTCCACAACTTTTGTCTGTCAGAGTCCCTCGGAAAAAGCACAATACCGTTCATCAAACTGCAACAGGAAAACTGCAAAGGAAGCATCAAAGGGAAGAATGCTTGCATCACACACAAGGAGAGGATTTGCATCAGAGTGATCTGGTATCCCCATCACAGAGACTAATGGTGGGCTTCGTAAGTCCATCGATGCTCATACGTGGAACATGTGAACGTGTGTCCCCTCCTAGGAAAACCCCTTCAGCTGTGCATATCATGTCATATCATCACTACCATTTTGCCCATCATATTCACTCGTGTTCCATTTAAAGCAGATCAAGTAAGGGCATCATGACAATTCCTTTCATTTTTTAATTTATTTTTTGTTTTATAGAATCATGCCAATACTGTATGCCTGATTATATGCATCAATAACCAGCACTGTACCTCCTTCACAAAATCTTTCCATCTCAGAGTGCTGTGGATTCAAACTCAATGGGCAAGGCAATTCATTTTGTAAAGTAAGAAGTAATGCAATCACTTTTGAAAACAGTAGTTTATAACATCTAAGTGTTATAACATCTGAACCCTCTATCAGCTCTTTCTCCTGGGGTTCTTTCCCCCATTAATGCATGAACTTGGCCCTTCCCAGGCCTGTGATGTCTTTCAACCCCTCATGACACGACAGCATACAGTGTGTTTTAATGTGCACTTGTGCCAATCACCCTTTGTTTTAGTGATAGAAACCAGTGTAGCCTGTTTTTTTCGTTTTTTTTGGTCGTTGTTGTTTTTTAATCAGTGCTTTCAGAAGTGTTCCTCTGTCCTGTTTTCATTCAGCATTTTAAACATGGAACTAGGATCATGTAAAGGATTATGTTTGTAATGCACAATATATTGTTCATGCTATGATTACTGTTTTTCCCCTGTTGTTGTAACTCTAAATGTACAGTGTATGTGCGTTGATTACAATATGGCCATGTATTACCAAAGTCATGTGTTGTGATTGGAGGAGGTGGCCCAAACATCTTAGCAAGGTAATATCTGGATTCTGTGAAGGTTAAAGCATGAGATGTCTTCAGTTCCAGCAAGGCATTTGCATAGCAATGTAGTTATGAAATGGCACTGTATGGTACAGTAGCTTTTTACAGTCATTTCCTCATTTGTAGGTGTTACATGTCAGTGTAATCCTATTTTGTTAGCTATAAATCATCAGAAACCATCCTTTAACCCCACATAACTTTTAGCCAGTGCAAATAAGTAATACCTTAAAAAGGAATCACAGAAATTCTGTTTTAACCAAGTGCATATACCATGAGCTCAGCAACTCGCCCAATCAGAACAAGAATCCCTTCAACATGTCAGATAACTGTTTGTTTAATGAAACATACTATTTCTGCAAAGGGTTATGCTTTGCCCCCTTTTTATTGTAATTTATACCCTCTGTTAATAATCAAAATGTGCTTTATGTTCGCATTATGTTTTCATGATATTATTCTGAGTTTGTTCTGGAGCAATACTGTCACTTCTTTGCGCTTACAATTGAAAACCATTCGCAATGTGTTTTGTCGGATGCATATTTACCCCATTTTAAAAATATTCTTTTCCATTTTAAATTATTTTGTATTACAGTTTTTTAGTGTTCAATTATGTACAGACCTTATGTTTGTTGTCGACACATTTGAACTCCTTCAAAACAGGAGAATGTGGTTCTCCACTTGTAATACACTTGTATATCTTTTTTTTTTTTCAAATGATGCACTGCCACATTTTTGTTCCTTGTTCTAGACACACAAACTGAACTAAAATCTCCACTTCCACTTGGGTCACACTTCAAGTTGAGCATAGTCCATGTTATAGACCTGCCACTTACTGTAGTTTGTACTGTCATTGAGGAGAAAGCGTAAGCTGAGGTGGAGATAGTTATGGTGAGATGAGTCAGGCGTTGTTCGTCCCCTACTCAGCCACAGGTCTTGATGGGAAATGGTCTGGAAGAGAGCAGGAGCAGGGGACATAAGGGATGCATGTACATATGTAAATGACAAATAGAGACACGTTAACAGAAATGTATTCATTTTCCCCAGGGGAATGTGCATTGTGTATTTAGAATTTGTAAAGCTTGCATCCTCCTAACAGACTCGAATTGGGTAAAATGAATCTGTGTTTGTTAGCGTCTGTGGAACCTCTCGCCATTTTTTTTCCACTTCTGTAAAATATTTCCAGCCCCCCATGTCAGGGGAAATAGGGGGGAACGAGACACATTTGTTTTACCTTTGTGTAATATTTAGCTTATGTGTATTGCTCCATTACCTGTGTACTCTATAAGGTGCTACAAAAAGATGAAGAAAATCCTGGGGAATAATTTGGAGGATAGGGACGTGGGGCCTGGAGTGGTTCCAAAAGATTGTAACCAAATTCATAGTTTGTACAATTTTGATATCATGATCAGAGTAAAAAAAAGGTACAATCTGAGGATATTGGCGCCTAAAGTGGCAGTTGTCTTTTGGTTTGTACATTCTGTGTACAATCATTTCATATTTTAAACTGTTCAGAAGAAGAAAAAAACTAATTGTGATTTTTAGTCTTGCAAAACTGTATGTAGTTAGATGCTGTGACATCCTAATATTTATCTAATAAATATGTATTCAGATGAAACATGGTCACCGCTTTGTCAACATGATTTGTGTGAATAACAAGTCATTAAAAAAGTCATTAAAATCATCATTTAATATTAAAGGGCCCACATCCCACATTTTTCTTGTATTTTATGCTTTCTCTGAGTTTCACTCATGTTTGTGTGGGTTTATGTAGATCTCCTCTGATTGAGTGCCCTGTATTGTGCCTCATTCAAAGAGCAGACCAGGCAGAAACACTTTTTATAACTTGAATTGGGGCTAAGCTGGTGTGCGATAAATCAGAGGATCTATGTAAATGCCCTGGTTTCTGTGACTTCAAAAAAACTATTAATTTAAATTGGGCTGTTTTGCAGCTTAGTTATGGTCTGTATGGACTGGAAAGTAAATGGTAAGTTTTGAAAACAGTGTTTACATTGTACATCAAACTTTTTTGATATACAAAATAAGGAAAATGTAATTTTCCATGATATAGACCCTTTCAAGTAACGTGTATCAGAAATTACAATGCATTATTTTACAATGCATTTCTACAGTACTGTAACACATTTATGTTCTGTTTCCATTTAACAGTTTACATGTTCGAGTGAGACATGGTTTCAAAGAGTGTCTCTGAGCTATCTGAGTGTTTTAATGGAAGATAGGTGAGGGTGGTGAGAAGGAGAGAGAGGTGAAACATGATAATATTGGTCATTACTATTTTCCCCTGTCCGCTGGTACACAGTGACATAGTCAAAACTCATTTGCAAAGGAAAAGTCCATATATATATATATATGTATATACATACATATGTGCATGTATTTCAATATACTAACACATACTGGCATATATTTGAATATTAAAAAATGGTGCAGCTTAATATACTTTAAAATATCACATATATTGCACATATAATGACTGGAAACTTCATAAAGTACACCTCTTTGTTTCTAAACTTTTTGCTGTCCAAAAAATGTCTCCATTTTTTTCATTTTTTATTTTTGTACATAATTTGAACAGCAGCTGTCAGTTACATTGTGTGAAAATTTAATGAAAAATGGACCCATAAAATGGTCCAAAATTACTTTGAAAGAGTCTCTTTACATCAACTTATATTCGAAGTATGCTTATTTATTTAGTTAGTTAGTTAGTTAGTTATTTTAGACAGCGACAACCAGTGAAGGGTTTCCATCATAAAAAGCACAGAGCAGCACACATGTAAAGGTGGTTTTATAATGACTCCTTGAAAGGCGTTCAAATCTGTACCCATAAAAAGTCGACAGATGACAAACTGCCCCTTAAACATCACTGGGTGCTGTTAACAGTTCCCTTTAGTGGATTTAGCTACACTTTCTATTCACTGGCTATTCTGCCTTGACTAGAGCAGGCTGAGCAGGTAGCAGAAAGCTAACCAGCTAAAAGGCTAATGCTACAATAACTAAAGACAGACTTCAAGTTTAAGCCTCAAATAAAGAGTTATTTAAACACCAAGACATAAATAAAGTAAAGAATATCACTTACATACCTGTTGCGAACTTAAAATGCCTGTATTAAAACTACGGCTGACATCAAAATCCAATATTGAGCAGAGCTAGCCCCACTTGTCTGATGCTAACATACCATGGTTACCTTAGCATTATCGTAGCACTGATTAAAAAATAGATTTCTGCATCAGACATCGCTGCATATTGGCATTGCTTCATGGTTTTCTGCCTGTGTCTGGCTCTCACTGTAAGCACATTTGAAAAATTTTAATGAAATTACTTTACTAGCCTTAGTAATTCGTGTAGGCTATTACGCTAAAGTATCATCTGACTAAAGCGTTTCTCTTACGCAGGTTTCTGCTGCGGACAGATCAATTAACTACAAAAGTATTCAATAAAGATTATTTAGGATTATTTATATTTGTCTTTATTCCTGCGTTTCTATCACTTTAGAAATAAAATGTGTTTTCCAGTAACACCAGTTGTTATCCTTTTCAAAAACTCTTTGTTGCCAAAATTACAAATAGATATTCAGCATTTTGGAATGACATCATCATACATTTTTCTTCCATGTAGGATCTCGACTTTTTTCCGGTGGGCAAAGTTCACACTGAGATTAAATATTACATCAAAACAAGAATTTGGTCTTTTAAATTAAATTGTATCATACATATGTGCTTAATATGACCAGGGACGTGAAATAACAAAGTAGAAACGCTTTTTTGATCTCAGGTTGACTTTATAACAACACCTTCTGTTCTCACAGCGTTTAATTGCTGAGCCTGTAACACAACCGGCCACACAGGGGCGCTGTTGGTTTTCCTTCAGCTCTGAGGAAACAGCGGGGTCAGATGGCGGCTATGGCTGCGTCTGGTACACGCACACATTTCACCTTGGTCACTTTAACACAGCTCAGTTGTTCCCTGCTTGTTTTTAAACCAGTCGTGCCGCAATGTTGCAAATGAAAAATCGTTTAAGATATTGCTCAGTCGCTATTGCTGCGAACAGACTTCTCTCAGGACCCCCTAAAAACCCGGTCGTGTTCTTGGACGTCGCAGCTGACGGCGAGTTTATTGGAAGAATCGCAATCGAAGTAAGAATCCAAAAAGATCAGCATGAGCACAGATAGACCTTAAAGTCCTCTATATCATCTAATTTATATGTACTTTAATATCATTAGATGCAGCCCAGTATTGCAACTAGTAGCGAGGTTAGCTAAGTTGGCTCTAACGTTAACTGTTAGATTTCAATGACATGCCCTTCGTTTACTAACGTTACGTTGTGAAGTTTTAATTGTTTGTCTCATTGTAATCTGTGTATGATATATAAATTTACTGAATCACAGAACTCCTCTTTTTAAACTGCAGCTAAATGCAGATGTTGTTCCCAAAACAGCAGGTAAGTCCATAAAGTCCATATGTGATTTATGGAACCTCATTATTACTTAAAACTAAACTGAAAAACGAACAATGACTGACTTGTTTTGTCTTTCAGAGAATTTCAGGGCCCTCTGTACAGGAGAGCACGGGTTTGGCTATAAAGGCTCGGTTTTCCATAGAATAATTCCTGAATTTATGTGTCAGGTATCTATTAACTATTAATATTATAACAGGTGTTTCATTTCAGTACATACTACCTGTCTGATATTTTCATTGGAGAAAAAAAAACAGAAAAGCTACAGAAACCAGTTAAACTACATTCAGTGAGAGGAAACAGGTTAATGTGCATTTTGTTACTTATATATTTCCAGTCTTCAAATTTACATTCTTTTGACTTTGTACTTAGAAATATGGAAAAAAAAACTGTATTCATAACCATATATGCACATAACCATAAATACAATGGACATTTATACTGTATACATTGGAAATATATTAAATAACAAACAAAAGTGAATGTGCCTCACTGTACAGACCAAATAGATCAGAGGTCAACATTATTATCCACAACAGGCTGATGTGGCTTCCAATCACTTGGTCTCAGTCTGTGAACAACTGATTAGTTATATGAGGTGTACTTTTTGGCTTGGTTGGAATGAAAACCTGCCGCCAGACCAGCTCTTTTTGATAGGATCAGCGACACAGCAAATCACGTTTGTTAACCTGTAGAATCAAATCATATAATATTGCCTCTGTCTGTCAAATTGCATGAAGATTGCATGAAAATGCATGCACTCCTGCATGCACACCTCAACTTTCTCTGCAGTCAACATGGCAAACAACAGTGTAATGTGTTATATACATATTGTTTATCCCTAATTCACGTCTGCTTCTATATGAACTGTACTTGCCATCCGAGGATGACTGATGTTATCCGTTCACAGGGTGGAGATTTCACAAATCATAATGGCACTGGTGGAAAATCTATTTATGGGAAGACATTCAAAGATGAGAATTTCAAGTTGAAACACACTGGACCAGGTGACGTAATGCTAGCTACTCCCAGACTATTGACGTAATTGCTGCAGCAAAGCTACGTCAGCTCAGCCCTTTGGGATTATGGTTCCCAGTTTTCTATACTGGTTATGAGCACATGGGAAGACTTGTGTATATGGTGCTTTCACTTCTGCATAAGACCACTAGGTGGTGGCACGGCCCACAGCAGTGAGGAGCCGAGATTTTGTAATCCACAAACGAATGACCTACTTTCAGAGCAAGTCAACATCAATGTATCATAGTGCATTTTTGGTGCCAGGGGGTTCCTAAACCAACAAACCCTCTTGATAGATTGATATGGCCAAATAGTGTCGGGTTGTGTAATACTGGCCTGGATGTAATTATAGTCGAGAACCATAACTTAACCGATCCAGATGTGTGCCCTCATGCAGCGCTGCAGTCTGCTGTGGTGTTTTGGGTTCTCTGCTTTTCTTTACATTCAGCTCTTTGTTGTGGAGCTTTTCATTATGAAGTGGCCACTAAATCATATTACATTTACTGAACTGTACAAACTGACATAAAAAGTCACATCTTAGTAATCCATTGCAAACTGAGACCTGATGTTTGTTCATCTTGGTCTTCACAGGTGTGCTATCAATGGCAAACTCTGGACCAAACACCAATGGATCTCAGTTTTTCATCTGCACTGCAAAAACAGAATGGTATGCATATAGGGCCATCATAGTGAAGCGATCACCACTGCTGTTTTTATGAGGTTTTGGTGGTTAACCATAGTGTAATGTAGGTCTAACAAATCATGTCAATTCTTTCTGTCTCAGGCTTGATGGCAAACATGTTGTGTTTGGTCATGTAAAAGAGGGCATGGAGACTGTAACTGTAATGGAGTCCTACGGTTTGCATGACGGAGGAACAGTTAAGAAGATTGTCATCACAGACTGTGGGGAGCTTAAATAATGCAATACAGAGCAGACTGTTCTTTTGTTAATCTACAAACAAAAGGTAAATGATTTAATGGTTAATGCAGGTTAATTTAAGGGTTAATACAGCTTTTCAGCACAGTTGCATGCGGAAAAAATGTTTGTCTTAATTCAAGTAAATATTACTAACCTATGGGCCTTTAACACTCTTTGTGGAAGTATATTTTAGTGTTTTATGCTTACTAAGTAAGTACTTTGCCCTGCATGGTATATCTAACTCGTGCTGAGGACAAACACATAAACTTTTATATGCATTTTTTTTGGATGGGAAAATAAGATGCAAGCTGTATATAGTTTGTATACCTTTGAGACCTCTGTAAGGAAATTCCAGGAGGTATTTGGAATAAACTAAATTGTATATGAGACTAGTTGTGACATGTGGAATTTCTTTGAGGATATTTGCATCCTGTACCCATGGTTTTCATTTTTAATGGCCAAAAGGCTGTTTTCCAGATGAGGTCTACACCATGATGAGGTCTCTCTCTCTCTCTCTCTCTCTCTCTCTCTCGCTCTCTCTCTCTCGCTCTCTCTCTCTCTCGCTCTCTCTCTCTCAGCACAGACCTACAAAATATACTTTCACATGATTCATTGTTGGTGTACGGTGGATTTTCACAATACAGCACTGACTTTGGAATCATGTCCTCGCCATCATTTCTGAAATGTTCGTTTGGTTTTCTTCCATGTTTTTTAACATTTCCTGAGATTGATGCCAAATCTTTTTTTAGACAAGCCTTCCCGTCCTTTAGAAGAGGATGTGACATCATACCTGTGACCATGAAACCTCTCCACTTTCAGTACAGATAAGCTTATTTTGTACAGCATGCAGGCCAACATCACCATCACAATAGTGGCCAACCAGTGTTCACTTCACAGACACTAGAACTGCGAAGTTAGAATGGAGCTGGAGGTAGAGGTGTAGCTTATCACAGTAATGCTTTATGAAAGTAAATTATGAACCTTTGTGGAAAAACAGTCCTCGCTCTTAAATGAAACCATATGCGGGCTGAGGTCACAACGTTTGTTTGACTTCTCCGATTACAGAGTTGCCATAGAGACCCTCTCGTTCCCGTTCTGTTTAAGTCTGCATTGTTGTAACAAACTTCATATAATTTGGGCCTCCACCCTCTTGTGAAGTTTTAGTGATTTGGAATATGTAGCCCAATTACGGAAACTTGGCTCCGGGAGGAAAGGCACTTCCATTGCCAAGGTCTAACGTTCTTGTGTAGCACTCACATGTTTACAATCATTACAAGCAATTAGACGAATGGTGAAAAAAAAAAAAGATACATCTGTCTTTTTCACTGTGTGCTGTATGGTAAAGATAAAATGAATGTGCTTTAGTGATGTGTGCTTGAAGATCTAAAGGAAAATCTCTTCCTCAGCATTTTCGGAGATATAAGAACCTGATGTCAAAATGACAGCCATTCCTGAGGCTTTAAACTTGGATCTCTATTACACAAGCATCACTCCCTAGGACCATATCTAAGTAATTAATCAGGACCATACTGCCTCCCAAGTGGAAGATCTGAGATGGCAAAAGTTTCCCAAAACTCGAAGCATATGTTGAAATTTTGAAACACCTATGGCTTTAACAGAAAAGACAGAAACGCTGCTGTTTAATATAAAGACAATGAAAGAAGAGAAAGAAACAATTTAGTTTCAAAGTTTTAATCCAACAAACCCCTAAAAGCACAAAGTATTCGGTTTTCCTAACTAATAAGGCACATATCGGAATGCCGTTTCATGGACGTGGAGCAACAGAGTTGTTCTCTTTTTAATTTTCTAGTACAGTCTTTTATCAACTCCTCTCTGTTGCTCTGTCCAATTCAATATGATCTCAAATATGTTACAGACATTACGAACAAGAACATAAACATGAGTATCTAACGTCACAAGAGAGATTCATCAATACATTCAGTAAATATGTATTAATTGGTATACCCTAGTAGTGAATAAAGGCATTTAATTGTAACAATCAGTTATTAGTGAGGTGAACTCTATGAAAGACTTTTTTTAACCGAGACATTACATGAACTAATATTAAATAATACATTGCACAAAAGTATACTTCTTAAATCAGTTAAACCACATGCACATGCAAACTCAGCTACAGTTCTTTGTCTCACACGATTTTTAAAGTATATCTTAATTTCCAAAACATATTTTAGAATCATCATTTGCCTTGGCAGTAACTGGTGACATTGAAAAGCTCACAGTTTGATACAGTTTGACTTACAGTGGTGTGAGTCAGTCTTTGACATTAAACGTTTGCTGTTACAACATTATTGCTTTCCTAGAACTGCTATTCCTAACATTTGTGCTATTCAGCAGACACATATGGTGATTTTTTTCCCCCAGAGGCATATTAAAGCACTTGTAATGGGTAAAGTTAATGTATATACTGGTAAAATCTAAAATAACAAAACACAAATAAAATGGCTTGTAAGGGCATAATAATTATGTACCAACCAATAATATTCTAGTAGACATCAATATTTCCTTCATAGTGTAGTTCTGTTGCATTTTATACAAAAAAAGAAGAAACCTTAGAAAGACCTTCCATAAATATTTCTGTAGGATACAACCTAAGATCATTGTAAAACAAGGTAAAAACTCCCAGCTCATCTCAGCAATCTGCCCTTTTTCGCATAAACAATTTTAATATTGCATCACAACATTTCAAAATAGCTAACTTGCAAATGATGGCCGTCGAATATATACACAAAACGAACATAAAATTGTATCTTTGAAAGGGAAAAAAAAATCGCATCCGATTTCAAATTGAAAAAAATTTCAACATCTATACTGGTTTCCAAAATACACATATCTTTCATAGAAAATAAGTTTACACTGAAAGTGAGCTATAAAAGTCAAGTATATGTAATTCAAGACAAACACATGCACGAAAGCACTGTATAAGCACTGTATTGTAAATGCATGTACACTTTATCACTACCTCCAATCGCTCCAGCCTAGGAGCCGCACTAGCACATCACAGGGCTTACGCTAAAACACCTCCAAAGATGAGCAGAGAAAGCTAACAAGTATTTATCTCAGCTGTTCTTCTTTTAAATATTAGAAAATAGCAGAGCTCCTCAATAACAACACTATTCTAGTCTGAAAGAGTGCATAAAAGTAGATAATCACTATGTTACTACTTTGTAAGGAACCAGAAAACAAGCGTAAATGAAGGAATCTAGCAGTATAAGCAGTATAGCTTTTTTCTTTCTCACTCTTAAGGCAACAAACAATTAATTCAGTTGATCCCAGTGATGTAGCGAAACAGTTTTGTGTTAAGCTTTTAAGAATCAACAGCGGTTACACTTGAAGCCATTGCTTTTTACTGAGAAAAACAGCCTCTGGCTGATCTCCTGCAACGGTGTTAATCAAAACACCGAAGGACTCCTTCCATCCTAAAAGAGGCTGGAAGTGAAGCTTGGCATGTATCAATGTGTGCACAGAGGAGCTATTAGCAACAACAGGCCACATAAAGCTATATTTATTGAGTAATGAGGGAGCTCTACTAAAAGGCTAACACTCACGAAAGAGGATGACCTGTTTTGCAGAGAGCCATTTTTTTGCGAGACTGATCTCATTTATATCTCACTGCTGATTCCACAGCAACAGGCTATAGTCTGATTTAATTTACCATCAGGAAATCAAACCTAATGCACCCACAACCCCTAATGCAGGGAGGGAAATATTAGTTGGTTCTCTGTTTTCAGTGCTAATGGGTTCGTTACATTGCCGCCCCATCAATTCACATCTTAGACCAGCATGAGACGCTACCTACCAAAAACCCCAACGTTTCACATCATCATCATCATCATCATCATCATCACCTAAAGCATGTTGGACTTATCCCTTCAGGCATGGTTTGCCTCTGAGAGCATCATACAGTCTGCCTCCACAAATCAGAAAAATACAATTTCAGACAACATAAAATATATGAGGTTATGACTTTCAACGTTTAGTAAACAATTATACACACTCTATATACCAAAAAATGTGTTTTACTTTATATGTACATCTAGGCTTAAAACATTGACAAGACAATATTCTTCTCTCAGTAACTTCTGCCAGAAAATGCTTACAAATGTGTCTACAAATGTCCTTCGTTATACAAAATAAAGCTACACTTAATGTTATAAAATATTAAATGCTCTTTAGTGATCACAGTCACGTGACCAATTAGTACTGCAATTAAACTGTGTAAGAGCAAATCTTTCAGACCAAAAGGTAAACTACTGTATATCCTTCAATAATCTTTATATCATGCGAATAATTGCTTTATATCCTTCCTCCATGATAAAATCTCTACACTATACTACACTCTTCACATACTTCCACCAATGTCCTGTATCCTATGGCCAAACGTTACCAAAACCACATCTTGTCAGACCTTTCGAAAGACTTTTCAATGTAACATACTTTGTCCTTTGCTCCTTTTCAGCCAAATGTTACCTCCCCTCCTCCCAGTTAGGGCATTCTTCCCTAAAAATCACAGCTTTGATGGGATTAAATCCACCATTTGTCAGTAACGTTGTAACTCAGAAATCTACATAAACAGCAAAGCTTTTATACAGCTGTGATGTGAAAAATCTTAATCTTTCATGGAGAAGAAATATTCTTTTTGTGACATCACAAAGATATATAACATCTCTAAATACTCTATAAATACCAACATACAGCCATATAAATCCAAAGGAATTGTTTAGACCGAGAAATCTGACATTAAATATTCCTCTCAGAGCAGGGAAGGCTGCTTTTTAGCGCATAATAGAAATAAATGCTTTTAGATCCACTAATAAATGCTACTCATGCACAATAAAGATCAAGCACTCAAGCTATTTTAAGATTAGGCCAATGTAGAATTGCATAGATACACATAGGCCAGGAGCCTGCCTTTAGCAGGCCTTAAACATCATGTCATCTAAAGTATAGCGGCACACGTATTAGAAATAATGTACGGAGAAGAAGACAAAAATATATAATTCCAATGCCGATTTTATCCTGAGGCAAATAAGGGTGTTTGTTCCAGCTGGCTGTGGTCTCGTAGTCTTTTGATGGACTCAAATCTGTTGTACTGTCATCCAATAGGCTACTGCTCAGTAAAATGACAAAGACTGTTGCATAAGCTGTTGACATACTGCACTGTTGCCAACAAAATGAATATGATAACTTCCAGACTTACTTTTAGCCAGCTGTAGCCTTGTCTAAGGTTATCTAGCACGCAGATTATATGCATGTCAAACACACACATACACACAAATATATATATATGTGTGCGTATATGTACACATACACACACACATACACACACACACGTATGTCAAAAGTAGGAACTTGATATTGCTGAATTACATACAAGACAGTTCTATCCTACAGTAGTTTCTAATGGCAAGAGGTGGGGTTAGACATTACCTGTGCAAACAAACACAGGCAGAAATATCCCAGTTTAGTTCAATCAATTGCACGGATATAAAAACAATACAAATAAATATGCAACATAAAAGCTAGGGATGACAAGTACAATATCCCTTGTTAATTCACAGTTAAAATGGTGTGCTGTTGCCCCAAAGAACACTGCAAGGCACACTACAGGCCCTGTCTGAATGAACTAATAATACCTTTACCACTCAGCACATCCACATAGTTCACTTGGCAGGGAAAATGAAGATAGAGTCTGTAAACACGCAGTCAAAAGCACAATGTTGAGGTCAGCCATTGTGCCCGGTATGGATATCAATACTGTCAGTGACATACTTCTAAACACATAATAGTCAATTATACACACAAAACAAATACATGTGTTTTTATGCTGTTGATACACAAGGCCATATTAGAATTAGCAATATTTACAATAATATTTTGGCACATCTTGCTTTTTTTTCATGGAGCACTTGGTGGGTATGACAGAGGGGAAGGGGCAAAGGGACAGGAAGGCAGGAGTGGGCAGGGACCTGCTGGTCCTTATTGCACGCGGCGGCAGTAGTAGCCCAGGACTTTGCACTTCTCGCACAGGTGCTGCGGGTGCTCCTTGCTCTGGTCAGAGACGTCCAGGCCATCGGGCTTCTCCAGAGGACGCTGCGGGAATGGAATAATTTGTTATTAGTACTCAGACCATATAAAAAAAACATGGCCTTTAGTTTGTATTTCAGTTTGGACATTTAGGCTCACCACAACATATGCTTTGCCACAATACTTGACTAAGGCTGAGAACGTTTATGATGAGGCCTTTAAGGCTGATATTATTGAAGATCATGTGAGTTCAGAGCTCAAACCACAGTCTGGCTCCAGCAGCAGGGTGTGTCAAACATTTGTTTAGGACTAGTATCAGATATATACTCTGATCTCTGTAATGCTATGAAAAAAGTGTTTCAAAGCTATTGGAAATGCTTTTAGGATTCCATCTCTCTGGTATGCTTATTCCTACAAGACTTCAAACCAGCGTGACAATCGAGGTGGTGAATCTTTTTCTTGGAAATTATGCAAAAGACCCAGAGAATGGGTGTGAGAGCCAGCACTTTTTGGCTGTTGATCACAAACAATACCTCCACAATCATTTGTTTTCCCACCCACTGTTGTTGCAGGATCTTTTTACGATCCTGTTATTCTTTCCAGTGTGTCTCAGCTGTACTTTATGAAATACGGAAAACTAGGTTAACACGGGCCATTGGGAGGAGACAATGTAGCATTAGGCTGGAGTGTTTACTCAAGAGCGAAGGGCTTTGTGAATGATAATATTAGGGAATATCGGATACCTCAGTGGATTAAGCATTTGGCCGATGTGCTCAATAACTGGAATTAATTCCTGCCAAGCAACAGAAAAGCTTAGTCAAGCAGGAACCTTTGGGGGGACTTTGTGTTGTACCTCTGCTTCTTGTCTGCTCATACTGTAAAGATGTCAGCCATGCTCCCAGAGCAAGGCGTTAAATTGGAGATTGCTGAAAACAGGGCTTACAGCAGTTACCCCTCTAATGCTCTTAGAGTGAGTTTCTGGCACAGGTCTGGCTATTTGACTTGATAGCATGGCAAAGGCCACTGCTGAGACACAATCACTTCATCAACCAACAGGAAGTATTGGGGACGTATACAGCTTTCCAGCATGGGAAAACTAATAAAACCATACGCATATACAGTACATTTTATACGATTGCTTAGGTTGCAGGAACAGGAGTCAGCTGCACATCCATAGAGACTCTTTGATATCCACAGGAGTGTACTACACATCTCAAATGCTGACTGGGGGGAAATATGTTAAGTGGGTGATGCTGAAAAGGCAAAGAATTTGCCTGCAAGAGAAGAGCTAACCACAACACACTCATGGAAAAGAGCATGCTTTTCCCACCAGCTGCCTCCAAACAAATGATGGTTTCTCATGAATTATAAAGCCACATTTGATGACAATTAGTGTAATGAATGTTTCCCTCTTTGCACTACATTTACCCTTTCATCTGATCCATCCGAGGTGCACGGAACTGAGACTAAACTTAACAGTAAGCCTTTAGTGAGAGATTCATGTAATGCTTCTGTAACGCTTCTTACGCTTGCATGAGCGCGTCTAGAGCATTTCTGTTCTTAGTCATACCGAGTCCGTCTGTTGCCTTGCGTATGTGTATTTCCTGGAAAAGGAAACACACGGCTCAGGCAGTATTTTGGTTAGGAGGACGCCTGGGTTCAAGAATCGAGTTTCAAGGGTAAGCCCATGGGGCTTCATCCACCACAAAAATTCCTCCAAAGAATACACTGCCTATGTGTACATTACACAAGTAAGCTTATGGCTGAACAATAGAATAACACAAACATATAAATTTGATTATGAACTTGCACAATATATACAGAACTAGAACAGGATGCTCCAGTGTACTAAAATGTACTAAATTCTATATTGTACCTGTTTGTGAGGATACACGTTGATGTGACACTTGATACATTCCTGCCCCATGTTGGCCCAGGAGTTTCCACTCATCCACTTCCTTTTGCATTTGGGGCATTTGTACTCTCCGAAGCATCTCTTCTTCCCTTGATAGGGTGTCAGTCCTTCACCCTTGGGTCGGGCCTGAAATGGCATAACGGATACAGTTAGGCAAGCCTGTCGCTAAAATCTGCAAGCAATCAAGTCATCAAGCTGTACTGATCAACAGTGGATGTGAAAGTAAGCCTGGACTGAAGCACTGCCCGCAGTGGAAGAATTTATGTCACCTGATCCTGTCCTCCCTCAACGAATTAATATCACCTGTGCTCTTGGCAGGGTGCAGTTACAATCAAATAAGACTTGTCTAACAAGTTGCAAGCTCTCATAACTACAGCCCTCTGTTTTCTTCCTCCAGGCCAGTCCATATGCTTCAACACCAAGGTAATTTTTTGAATACTGCCTGAGAGAAAATGATAAACAGCAAAGCCAGGCTAGGACTGATTTTAAGGTCTGTAAGTAAGCCTCTACAAATAATGCATTGTATTTCTCTGTGTTTAGATTTGTAACCATCAAATGAGAAGATGTACAAACTTTGCTTTATGAACAGTCAAGGCTTCGTTGGCATTGGAAGCATGTTTCATTTGCACTAAGGGGCTTTTTAACACAAATTAATTCTCAAACAGGCTTAGGCGTGGGTTCTGCATGGTGAGTCAATGCTGGCTTCAATATCTAGGCTACAATAACTGTGAAAGGGAAAACTACAAAAAAAGGGGATTTTCCCTTGTGTGTCACAAACAAGAGTTTTATGTCACCATCATGGTAGATCTCTAAGTTCGAAGAAAGTCCAAAACAAACAAATTTAGGAAACATCTCGAGGTGATTAAGCCCTGTCAAGTCTGATATAACTCAACAAGAAAACATGATTAAGTCCATTGAAAAACTAGTATTCTCTAAAACTGGTTAGAGTTATGTTACAGTAATTTAAATAGAGCTAGTAAAGTTCTCCTGCTGTTACCACAGTGTTTATCTCACCACTAACTTGTGCTAACCTGGACTACATACAATGAATACTACAGCAATACTGTCAGAAAAAAATTGATGCAAGGCTCTTTACATTCCAAACAACCAGTCAAATTTGAGTGTTATGAATGAGGAATCTCAAAGATTTAAATACTTTAAGTGCAAATAAGGCTTTACAGATGTGGTGTGGTCTCAGCATGTGTTCTGGTCAGAAAGTTCAACATGTGTGCATCATTATGTTTCCTATCAATCACTGTTTCAAAAAAGAGACTTGGAAAGTGGGAGCAAGACTGAGAGAGAGTCAGAAAGAGAACGTGACAGGCGGAGAGAGAGAGAAAGTGGCAAAATTGCTCATAGGCAGAAAATATTTCACATCCCCAGTCCTTCTAAACATGTGTGGCTTTTCAGTCAGGTGAAAAAAGAGGTCTTCTGAGGCCTTGGTTTACCCATGCAAAATCTATCATATCAAAGTTCCTGTCCCTGGGGTTTGTGCCTCATTGTTGATGGGGAATGAAGCCTAAAGCTGGCTCCAGATTGCAGCGGGGATGAGCGGGGTGGATATGTAACTTTGGTCCCGCATGACTAATGAGTGGTGAAATCATCAGCATCTGCTCCAGTGTGTGTAAAGAGCCAGCTACATGCGTCACGACACACATGCTGCATGCGATAGGCTCTCCTCCCCAACCTTAAACAATATGACTCAACCACTGTCAACAAACCTTCTTCCTAGTTGACGGCAGCTGGAAACCATGACATCTGAGCTTTTTGCTGGCTATGTTTCTAAACTTCAGAAATGGACTGACGCAAGGCCGTGCTAGCGGCTGCGCCACTAGTCCACTTTAGGACTGGTGTGGGTGGAGAGCTCTCGGATTGGGAAAATAATAAAACCCATAGCACAACTGACTCCATTTGATTCATAGTTTCCATTGTTGAGCTTCATTAAGCATTAGGTGTATCTCCCCCTTAATAGAATGAATATATACTAAAAACTCTGGTCAATGTCTTATGTAATGTCCTGCAGCATTTCCGTACCATAAAGTAGTAAATAGTAAATAATGCAACCCAGCTTGGATGAGAAGATGCTGACAGGCTAACAGTTGCTTATGTGGGATGCACTTATTTTGGCCAAAGTAAAATTCTTTATTATCAAATGTCAAGATGCACTCCCAAGTCCAGCACATTGATATAACAATGTCTGATATAGCAGTGTGCTGCAGCAGCATCTAGACACAGTCAGCTTTAATCACAGAATTTCTTGGTCCTTATAGAAAGAGTTTTTCTGCACACTGAAATATTATCTGTTTTATTGAAAAACAATGTTTAATAAACGGTAATTGAAGAGGTTAAACTCAAGCATAGTGTTTCATCTTTGGTGTTGTATCAACGAGTTAAACCAGCCAGTGCTCCCCCCTTCTCGCAAACATAAGCAGTCAACTTCCTGTAGCATTCTTCAAGCCCTAATATTCTAAACAGCATTTAGTACTGCCGGTTTAATAAACTATTAACACTATTCTAATACATTTACATAGAAATATATACCTAATGATTCTTTGGCCCAGTATAAAACATTCAGATGCACATTCTTCTGATATGAATTAACTGACTGCATACTCCTTATCATACAATAGCACTTTATGAAAACAAATGTGTAGAGAACGTAAAACTTAGTGCGTTCACATGTAAAGTCACCGTATTTTGTAAAAACAATTCTGTGCCATCATATACCTTTAAAGGGTTCACCACCCACCCTATAAACCCTAGGGGTTGTGTAATGATATGTACAATATGGCCTGGCCTTATGGCTTTAACAATGAGTGGCCTTCTAACAGGATATAGGCTCATGTAAATAGCAGTAAAACAGAAAGAAAAGTTTTTCTTTCCTCCTTTTTCTTACAATAATGGATATCTGATGTAACAACATATTAAGATTGTAAACTCTAAGGATCCGTCATCGGGTTCAAATCTACGTTCCTCACTATTATCACTACATGCCTTACATATTAGTTTCACAGTAGTTACGGAATATCTAAAGTTTTTTGACCATCTCTGCATTATTACATTGTTAAGATGTAAACAAAGACATTCAGAGCGGTTTAATGTGGTTTGTACTTCATTCTAGAGAAACTTACCAAATCAGAAACTTTTAGAGGAACCAGACGTCTGAAGCATTTTGTTCCTCTAAAGACCCCTCACAAAGTTTTCTACTTCGCAGAGAGGTACATGCAGGGCATTTTAAGGCAAAACTGACTCCATAGAAAACTTATTTTTTTGTGATTCATCACTACTTTACCATTATCAACATTACATATCGCTGGCATACAAAAAATCATATATATTTTTTCCAAAACAGCAATTTTGCAGGAAAATGCAAAAACACTCTTAACTTTTAATTTAAATGAATGTAAAAAACATTTTGCAGCATTTCTATTGGTCCAAGAAGTTTTCACATGATGTGTTTAAATTCTGTAGAAAAAATAGAGATACTTTTTTTGGACAGCAACAGTATAAAAAACTCAGAAAGCACATGCACATTTACTGTTTTTTCTGATAGTAAATAAAATAACTACATTAGCATTGTAGACATTGTGACCCCTGGTCTCTATCACCACCATAAAGAAATCTGATAGGTTTCTCTACAATGCACCATTTCACATGAAACCACTCTGAATGACTTTACATCTCAACCACTGAATTATGCAGGAATAAAAAAATCAGAATTGGTGGAATTCCCCTTTGAGTTTGATAACTGAATAAGACTAAAGCGTAAGTGTTTAAGAGCTATGTGGCTTCCAATAGGCATGACCAGACATGACTATTTAGGTTTTCTTAAGTTAGTGTTTCACTCTGGCAGATGTCTAACCAGCAGTACTGGAAAATTCACAACTCTGTCTAATCACATTGCTAAGAATCTGAGTCGCTGTGAAAAAAGCCTCTATCTATGCAGCAGCACTCTGCAGCATGCCCTGGGCCTCTGCCAGAAGACACACATGATATTCTGTTTACAGCAGCTTGACCTATTTTGGTTGTGTTTTTAATAGATTTCAGACTAATTGAGTGTGGGAGAGGCCTGGTGTGATCGGCATGATGAGACACTGGACCTGTTAAATGAGGAAAGTTTTAAACTCAGAACCCGAATTAGTGACACACTGCAGCAAAGCACAAGAACACATTCATCAGACAGTTACTTATTATGAGCAATAAAACACACACCCATAAAAAAAATAAAAACTACCCTTGGATAATATAAATGAAATAGCTCTGGTAAAAATTGTCATTTTAAATGTAAATGACTTTATTCAGTCTGGTTTTGTCTAAATAAAATCTGTCTTTACAAATGACTAAGTAGGGAAATATCCTGGTCATTTCAATCCAATTAGTCAGACAAAAACACCAAATTTTGTGCTCTTGAACTCATGAACTCGCATTCATTGTTTTATTGTTATTTTGGCAGTTTTGTCACAAAAAAATATTACGACCATCTGAAGCACAACAGAACAGTCTGTTTTCCACAGGCAACAATTTAAAATGAAATGGGCCTTTTCAGAACATACTTCACTAGAAAACACCACAAAGACTGAATTACAGACTGATACCAGGGCCTCTGCACTTTAGTTGCACAGTTGTTTACATAGTTTTACCCAGTGCATCGTTGTAAAAGCAGAGTGACCACTTCAGCCAGAATCTCAGAGAGCTTAAATAGACAGCAAGCTCAACGAAGTAGTCTTGGCCTGCTGGTCAAATGAAAACAGTGCTTAAAGAAATACAGGCAGTCGATAATTGCAGTTCTGGATAAAGAGCTTCTGTTTGCTGTATCACATCTAGTTTGTTTGCGTGTGTGTCAATGTTTGTTTCTGTGTCAGCAAGCATTAAAGGGCCCATATCCTACATTTCTGCTATTTTTTTTCCTGAGGTCAATGTATGGTGTTTGTGTAGGAGGTGGGGTCATGTTCCAAACTCTCTTTCTCGCTTAGATTTAAAAAGCCAGTTTTTATTGTTATATTTCTGAGACTGATATATCAGCGTTGTTCAAAAAAAAAAAAGAAAGAAAACTCTTTTCTTTTTTATTTTTGTATATCATTTCAACATTGTAGCCATCTTTTATATTGTGTGAAAATTTCATGAGA